TCCCATACGCGCCTCGGCCCCGCGTACGGGACCCCAAAGAAATATGTTTGCGGGGAACGATTTCGCGAACCAGGCAACGTAGAAAGCTGAAACTTTGCAGGGATATTCTCTATGCACGTGCAAGATAAAAATTTTAAACTCAGCTCTCTAGTTCCCCAACCACAGTCTCAAGCAGCTCCTCAACCCAAAAATCTTTAGCAACTCGGACCTGAACCCCAAATGTATATGCAAATGAACATGGATTTTTTGAAAAACGACCGTTCGAGCAATACTTTCAATTTTTAATGAACTGAAAATCTGCATATTTTCGAAAAAATCGCTCGTAGCTCGGACCTGAACCGCAGTCGTATATGTAAATGAACGTTGATTTTTGACAAACGACCGATCGAGCAATACTTCCACTTTTTGGTGAACTGGAAATTTGCATTTTTTTAAAAAAATTACATTTGTCATTTTTTCACAAAGCGAGCATTTACCGGAAAAACGACCGAACTTCATGCAGAAAACCAGTAATCATGCACCTGGATGTCCATGCGGCTCTATTATGCACCACCTTCATCCCAACTGATGCCCTTCGTCCTGCATGCCGGAAGGGGCCAAAGCACGGCCAATATGAGCCCAAGTGTTAGACTACTGCGTAGGGATCATTCTTGCTGATAGCAATCTGCGAGTTTAGTGCAGAAATGCACGATCGCACCGGAGAGTCTGGTGCGTTCCAGCCTGGGTTTCCCTTTTATTCACAAATTCAGGTTTGTTTTAATTTACTTTTCTTTGTAGTGCCGTGTTGGTTTATTTTTCTCTTTGCTGCTATATGTAGTTTTTGCTTCGAGCTCCTGTCTAACACCCTTCTCCTCCTGTGTCCTGTCCCCAATCACAGCCTCCAGAGCCACATCGGGAAACCCATCACCTCCAACCACTGTCACCGTTTATCGCCCCGAACACCTAGCCAGCAACTTCACTTCTCTCCATTATTCAGGCCTCAATCGCGCCCTCTGAGCTGTATCTGGGCAACTACCAACCAACAACCCCCAACCCCTTCCGATCCTCTCACCCATCACCCCCTCCCCCCTGGCCGTGCGATCTAGCCGTCAGACGCTGGGCAGCGCTACCCGGCGCGTCTGGCAAAGTTCCAGCGAGCGACACCGCGAAATAGTGCTGGCAGAGATGTTAGAGAAAAGCGCTGGATGGTCCAAGCACCATAAGTCACTAGCCGAGCTGAGTTTTCGTAATTGCCCCGAGAAGTTACGAGACAGTCAAGCTGACATTTTTGTTTTTGCCCGCCGAGCTTGGCCGGATAGGATGTAGTGCGATGTTTTCTGAATATAGCTGCTAGGGGGAGTGGTTGCTGAATATCTGTCACGGAGAGCAGCGGGCAGAGATGTGATGGGGCTGGCCCCGTTCAACGCCGTTCGCTGGGATGCTTGCGGAAAAGATATGTATTTTGCGGGATATCAGCTGGGGGCATTCGTCTGCATGCT